ATTCACAGAACCAACAATTCTCCAAGACCGCATGTATAACTCCCAGGGTGGGGGGTGCTAGGTTACATATACATGGTGTAGTTCAGGGTTTACCTGGGAGTTCATAATTTTGAGAAGAACCCATCTAGGGATCATACAGGGATTGTATCCCCTCATTCCCTACTAGGAAACAGTAATTCATGGTGGACAATGCCCTAGGCAAGCACCAGTGGCACGGAAAATGAAAATCTCTTCCCTCAAGAAAGAGAAGCGGTACAGGAAGACTCTCAGAGTTTGGGTCTGTCTATTGGCAGCCCTCATGATAGGAGGTGGATCCCCAAGGGTCTAAGTACCCAACGACCTCCACAATCATATTCAAAAGGTGTATTGAACCTACTATGACCCAATTCCCAAAGTCTGAAGCAGCTAATTCTTGGGTACTCGGACTTTCAGGGGATGAGTCTGAGGACGAGTTCACGAGTGGGTTCTGTCGCCTGAGTTCGAAGCGTATCAGTTCGTGGGAGTTCGAACTACAGAACCTTAGGCTCTGAAATGATTTCCTCCAAAAGCCCTTGAATCACTTGCTCATGTTTTTTCCCCTTCATGGAATCCCAAGCCTTGCAACCTGAACCCCATGTGCGCCGACCCCAAAATGTCATCCAAAACCTCCCAGGCGCAAAATTTGAAGCAACACGGATTCCATGTCGATCTGGCATGATTTGGGAGTTTCTCAAAATTGTGAACCCTGGATTAAAAATTCACCGCCAGACCGAGTCTTTATTCAGCTAGGGGTCATATGTAGAGTCTACACTTTGATCCCCGGAGTCCCTAGGGATATGTATGGATCATGCGCAGTACAAGGGATCCCCGTAGGATTTTGGTGGTTTAGGGTTAATTAAGGGTTTGGGGTTCTGTTGGGATCAGTCAGGGAAACTCTTGTGGCAATCTTGCGCTTCCTGCACTTGCAACTTGGACAGGCTTCCAGTAGTGAAGTAGTGGGGTTTCTGGCACTACTAGTAGTAGTAGTAGTAGTAGGTCTCCTAGATTGTGATAATGGCAGCCAGCAGGAGTGTTGAACTGCCCTCAACTCCTATCCCCTTAGGATTTGGTCTAAACTTCTATCGTAGAACCCCAGGGATCTATGAACATGTTTTTATAACAGGTCTCGGGGGATTACAGTCAAATGTGGCCTCAGGTTTCATCCAGGCATCTTCACAGCCTTCAAAAACTACTGAGCCGACGTAAACCCGGAACCCCAAACCCTAAACTTTAAGCCCTAAACCCTACACGTAAGGACCTGTTTAGGCTTTTCGAATCAGCCCTGTTCCGGTTTAGAACACTCCTAAAATCTTTGGGATTAGGAAGGTAGTCTGTTTAAGGTTTTAGGGGGGATGTCTCCTGATGTTTCGCTTGCTTAGCCCAAAGCCTCTCACTGACGGATGCCGGGGTTCAGGCACGAAGCCCTACAGTAGGTCCTGAACCCCTGGACTGGGTCCACACCAGGGATCCTTTATGGTTTAGAGAGAGAGAGAGAGAGAGAGAAGAAGAAGAGAGAAATGCATGTATGTACTGGTTTCCTCAAATGACTGTAGGAAAAATGCTTGTTCCCTGCTTGGTAACAGGGACTGGTAAGCCCCTGAAACCCTCAGCATTAAGACCTTTACGGCCCTCCAACGCCAAGCCAAAGACTCCAGCCGCATCGCCAGGGCGAGTACTACCAACAAGTTGTGACAGAGATTGCTCCTTGCCTGCACTAATTCTTGTCCGCCTGCAGCATCCTTGGTATGCTAGTGAATCACCTTTTTCTTGATGTCATCGTCTCAGCTGGTTTGCAAAAAGCCGTCGACCTACTGTTGTCATATGTGTGGATTTCAGGGATTGTGACGCAGCGCTCGCCTTATCCTGAATTCAGGATTTAGTTAGCCCGTCGGGTTCACTTGCAACGCTGCGTTTTGGTGAATTTCTTTTATTCTTTTTTGTGTTTTCGGGCAACGTTTTGAGAGGGTCATTTGGAGGTTTGCGCAGGGTCGTTTTTTTTAATAATGCAGGCTTGTCAAGGCATCGAGGTGAAAGGAGGATGTTTCTTGTGTTATCGGGAAAGGGCATGACAGGGTCATTTGNNTGGACATTTGCGCAGGGTTGTTTCTCATGCAGGTTTGTCCAAGGCAAGCGGAGGTGCATGTTGGAAGATTCAGAGTTCGAGCAGCGGCTCGAGATGCTGACGGTGGCCTTTGCGTTTAGCTATATAATTTTGCTGCGGATCGCGGGAGCACTTGCAGGGACTGTGCAAGCACACAGTCCCCATATCCTGCTAATTCCAACTTATATGGTCCCCGTAGTACAGACACTGCAGTTTGCAGTTGGAGCCCCAGATGCAAGCAGGACACGCTTGCCTGCCAAGTGGCCGATTTCTCCAGGTTAGTCCGGCTGGGATTCTTTCGATTCTTTGGGCTCAGCATGTTTCGGGTTTAGGGTCTTCTTGTAGGTTTTCCTGAGGCTTTTAGAGGTTACCTTAGGGTTA